CTAGAACCCCAAACAGCATGTATTTTACATACTTTGGCTCCTCTATACCAACTAAGGTGATAATGTGTCAACTGTCAGCTTTCTCATTTATGGCTCATTTTATTGGCACTTAATAACCATTGGATGAAAATATTCTTGACTCTTTACATATTTAGAATTTTTTAAAAATGTAGACTAGAAAATTCCACGCTCATTTCTTTTCACTCTGTGTTCTGTGCTGCTTATGCCTAGTTATTTTTCCAGTGGCAAATGTTTTAAAGGGAGTTTAACAACCATTCCATTTCTTAGATGTCAAGGATTAATTATGTGATAATTAATTCTTTTCTTCTCTTAAAAACAACATACTAAGTAATGTCTCTGATACCATACTATTTTATTGCTTTTATCCACCACTACTCCATGCTCACTAGAAGGGATCTTCAAAAAGTTCATGGGAAAATGGAATTAAAAGATAAAAATAAACTAGTATAAAATTTATTTCTCAACATAAGCCCCGTCAACATCAAAACATTTTTTGTAAGTGGTGATACCAGCCATTTAGTATATTTGTAAAGAACTGAGAGTCCTGAAAATGTAACTGTACCATATAGTCCTTTCAGAATATTCAGTGAAGAATAAAAGGAATGTCTTAAAGATTTTTCAGGATTAGGAAGCAAAGAGAAGTCAGAAGGAGCCAAATCAAGATTATAAGGTGGATGCCAAATTATTTGCTTCAACAAATCTTTAAAATTGCCCTTATTTGATGAAAGGAAGGAGCGGGACTATTGTCATGGTGGAGAGAGGCTCTGGTAAAGCTCTCGTGCGCATTTTTTGCTAAAGCATTTGCTAACTTTTTCAAAACACTAATAGCAAGCAGATTTTATTGTTCTTTGCTTCTCCAGAAAGTCAACAAACAAATATCTTGACCATCCTACACCGTCGTTCTCATGCCCTTACTCTCGACGGGCTCGCTCTTGCTTTGACGGGAGCGTTTCCACCCTTCGGTAGCTATTGCTTTGCTTCCTCTTTGTCTCATGAATCGTACGGTTAAAGCCATTAAAAAAATTTTTTTAATTAAATGATCACTTTATTGAGGGCTCTTACAGCTCTTATAACAATCCGTACACCAATTGTATCAAGCACAGTTGCACATATGCTGCCATCATTATTTGCTACATTTACTTTCTATTGAGCCCTTGGTTGGTATCAGCTCCTCTCTTTTTCCTCCCCACCCCCCAAACTTCATGACCCCTTGATCAATGATCAATTATTATTATTTTCATATCTTACACCAACCGCGCTCTCCCTTCCCTCATGGTTTCTGTTGTTCATCCCCTGGTTTATGTGTGTGTGTGTGTGTGTGTGTGTGGGTGTGTGTGTGTGTATTTCTGTGTTGATCATTGCAATCGGTTCCCTCTTACTCCCCTACTCTCCCCACCTTCCCCATACCCTCCTGGTATTGCTATACCCATTCCTGTTCCTGGATTCCATGTGTCCTGAGTTCTCATCTCTTCTCTGTCCCTGTGCACATGCTCCAGTCTAGCCTGCAGTGAAAGGCAGGACTGGGGTCATGACAGTGGGGGTGAGAAAGCCTCAAGGAACCAGGGGAATATTGTATGTCTCATTGGTGGCTGTACGTCACCTGGTTGACTCTTCCCTTCCTTGTGACCCTTCTGTGAGGGGATGTCCTATTGTCTACAGATGGGTTTTGGGTCTCTGCTCTGACCTGCCTCGTTCTCAACAATATGTTTTTCTTGTTTGTTTGTTTGGGGTCTTCTGATGCCTCTTTCCTGATCCTGTCAATACCTCATGATCGCACAGGGTGGTGTGCTTCTTCCCTGTGGGCTTGTGTTAAAGCCATTTTTCAGCTCCTATTATAATTCTTCCAAGAAATGCTTCTAGGTCTTGGTGCCATTACTTTAAAATGGCATTACCCTGAACCACCGGCAGCTGACTGGGTGTGGCGGTTTGAGTTCCCTTCAAGTGGAAAGTTTCCTCAACGTTAACTTTTCAGTCAAAATTGTGTAAACTGAACCAAGTGAGATCCCTGTGATGTTGGTTATTGTTTCTGCTGTGAATTGTCGGTTCTCTTCAATGAGAGCACGAACAAGGCTGATATCATTTGGGGGAAATTCATGGGAATGGCCTTCTCTTCTTGAAACAAGCTATGCAGAGACTTCTTGTAAGATGGCAACCGAGGAAAACTACGACCTCAGGAAGATCGTGTGGAGAAGGGCCCTGGGGCCCTGCAAAGCCAAACACACTCGTGGGGGAAATCATGGCAGAGTCTATCAGATGTATTGATTAGACCAGGAATTCTCTCTGACCAATTAATCACTGCCTCCCACAGAACAACAAAAAAAATCATTGGTGCCTGAAGGAAAGACAGACGTGATCTCCCCTAGCTCGCTACACCTCCTGGTGAATGGAGAACAGCTTCCAAACTCGGGAACTCAGTGACTGTTTATACCCTCCCTCCTCATGTCCAAGGTTGTGAGTGAAATCTGAAGGAGAGGCAGACCAGATGGTGAGACCCCCAACATGGGATGCTAACGAAGGGGGATTGAATCATCCTGGGGCTCCCATGGCTCCATGGTGTCCAGAGGGATACTGACCTACACATTTGCATGCATGGATGTGGTAGAGTCTGTGGGCACCGATGTGTCCCTGACAATTGACTCTGGTGGAGGCTTTCATCACCTGGGGTGTCCTGGAGCTAAAGCTGCAGTAAGGACTAGTCCAGTGGTTCTCAATCCTCCTAATGCCACCACCCTTTCATACAGTTCCTCGTGTTGTGGTGATGTCCCCAACCATAAAATTATTTTCGTTGCTACTTCATAACTGTAGTTTTACTACTGTTATGAATCAGGTGACTCCTGTGAAAGGGTCGTTCGACCCACAAAGGAGTCACAACCCATAGGTTGAGAACCGCTGGACTAGACAGGACATTTTCTCCCCTCTGTCCTGTTCTTTGGTTTTGATAAACTGCCAGCACAGCTCAGCATAGTGGCAGAACAAACTAATGGCCACCCCCGCTGATAACCGCAGAAGACAGAACAGGAATTTGAGAAAAAACCGCTTCAGTTCAGATTTAGGCTTGCTTTTTGATTTTCCCTGGTGGTTCTCTGCTTTTGATGTTTTGCTAAAGCACCAGTGGAGAGATACAGGGCATGGGCGGGTGGTTAGGGAAGAATCCCTAACTACATATAACCCCTCGTTGACCATAAGCGTTGCCATATGCACCATGTCTACACTCCTTCTGTGCGGATCCACTCTGAGAAGGGTGCGCCGGTGATTGGGAAAGAGAAAAACAGTTGCTGTTTCTTCTTGGAGGGGTGTGTATGTGGCTTTCACTCCGTTCATCATTGGATCGCTTGTGTGCATATTTGTGTTCTTGTTCTTTTTGTGTTGTTTTATTTTTTAAAAATATTATTTGTGTTGTTCCTGTTTTGCTCCACCTAAGAGAAGCAACGATCTCCACATGACCCAGCCACCCTCACCTATAAACCAGCTTCAAAGAGTGGGCAAGAGCCACCATTCACTTCGTGACCACTTGATCAATAAATAGAAACAAATAAAAAATAGCATAATACCTTGTAGACAACAGAAAATCTCATATGAAGTTCACATAAAGAAGCAAGACAGAGAGCAAAAATAAGTGATCAATATACAGAGACAAAAGACCTCCCTGCAGAAGAAAAGGCCCTGGTGCTATCAGAAGAAAAGATTCACCAGAATGATTCGTAGGTACTTTCAATGGATGGAGAAAAATGTCCAAAAAAAGTCTCAGCAAACAAATTGGAAGAGCTCAGGAAAACACTACAAGACTAATCTGACAAAATAAATGACAATTAGAAACCACACAAAAACAGCTAATAGAAATTCAGAAGTTTAAAACTAAGATATTAGCTCTAGGTAATACTTTGAAAGAGAAAAGCAGTAGAATTGAAAACATGGGAAGCTGAATTATTGAGTTTGAGGATGAATCTCTCAATCTCAGTCTATTAAAAGAACAATCCATAAAAAGAACAACAATAAAAAGCCATAGAAAGTCTAAGAATTATGTGGGACACTACCAAGAGGAATATTATCATTTCTAGCAAGAGGAATGATGGCATTCCATAACAGGAAGAAACAAGCAAATAAAAAAGCCTAGAAATTGTAGTTCAAAAACTGCTGGAAGAAAATTTCTTCTAAGAGGACAAATAGCCATTCATGCTGAAAGAACCCCAGATAGGGTAGATCCAAAAATAAAATCACTATGACATATTTTAATCAAACTTTTTTGATATCAAAGGCAAAGAAAGAATTCTGAGAACAGTGCAGGGGGTGGGGGAAGAAAAGCTACCTATAAATGGGGACCAATACAACGAGGCTCTGACTTTACAGCAGAAACCATGCAGGCAAGAAGGCAATAGTCAGTATCTATAAAGTTCTGAAGGACAAAAATTGCCAACCAAGAATTGTATGCCCAGAAAAATTATCTCCAAAATACAAAGGAGAAATAAAGCTATTTCCAGATATGGAGCAGTTAAAGGAATTTGTTAAAACAAGGCCAACCTTACCCCAAATATTCAGAGTCCTTTGTATAGAGAATCAACAACAGCAGACAGCAACCTGAAATCAACATACAAGATACCACCACATCTATGTCAGCCCACTTAAATTAGTACTCAGAGTAAAATCAAACTTACAAGACTGAAAATGAGGAGCCAGGAATACCGTTTCTCAAGGAAAAGAATTACAAAGTAAATACAAGATAAATGGGATAGCATAAGTGTATACATTTTTATGGAAAGGAAACCAAATATTTTCAAGCAAGAACAGACTATTTTAAACTTGGTAACATCAAAGAAAAGAGAAAAATTTGATTAAAAAAAATTACAATCGAGGGCGTCCCGAGTGGTCACCGTCCGCCCAGGCAGCCCGGCTCTGGCCTCGCAGGCCTCTTCATGGGGCGCCTCCGAGGGACACCACTCCAGGCCTCGGGGGGGTGGGGGGTGGGGTGTGTGTGTGGGTGGCAGCGAGCGAGTTGCTCTGCTGTGATCCTTCATCTTCTAAAGATGCCTCCTGACTTGTCTCCACACCTACACACTGAAGAATGCAACGCCTTGCTTAACTTGCTAAAGGAATGCCACAGAAATCACAGCGTTCTGAAATGTTTTGGTCATTGCAATGATTTTGATCGGGAGATGAGAAAATGCCTGAAAAATGAGTACGCGGAAAAGAGGTCCAGGAGCAGGGAGCATGGCGATTTGATGCAAAAGAGACTCTTGAATCCCCCAGAGGAGTCTGGGAAATGAAGTAATGTTTTCACCTGAAGCCTTGACTGAGCGAAGACCTCAAGACTCTTGGTTGATAATCTGGTTTATTTGGTCTCCACGATCTTGTGACTGCAACGTGTGACCTACGTTTGTAGTAGAAGTGGGGGAGCCCAGGACTTTGTGTTTGCCAAGTGGAGCCTTTAGTAGTAATGGTCCGCCTCCTGCCAACACTCTTCTAACGTGTTACTTCCCTGACTCCAACCAGCTAACGCTGAGTAACTTATCTCCCTCAATAAAATAACTTATTTTAATCATAAAAAAATTGCAATCACAAAGAAAACAGTAAAATAATGCAAAGAACCAATGGACAAGAAAATCCACAAACAAAATGAACTCAGCACAGAAAATTACAAGTAATAAAGAAATCAACACACCACAAAACACTAGAAAAATGAAAGCAACAAATTAACACCTATCATGTATGGCACTGAAGGTAAATGGATTAAATGCACCATTTAAGAGACACAGAGTAGCAGAATGAATAATAAAATTTGCCCAATCAATATGCTGCTTACAAGAAACACTTAACCACAAATGCAACAAACAAACAAACAAATGAAAACAACTAAAATTCAAAAAATGGGACAAATATATAGCAAGATAATGGCAATAAAAATTAGCAGGCATGGAAATATTAATCGCTAATAAAATAAACTTCAAGGTAAAAATCCATCATGTGAGAAATAGAAAGGCATATATAAATATCCACGGATACAAGTTTAAAAAGCTCAAACTCACCGCCATCGAGTAGATTCCTATTCCTAGTAACACTATAGGACTGAGGAGAACTGCCCCTCTGAGTTTGGAGAATGTGAGTCCCTACGGGAGCAGAAAGCCTCATCTTTCTTCTTAGAAGCAGCTGGTGAGTTTGAACTACTGATCTTGCAGTTAGTAGCCTAACCCATGAAAGACCTTCCAAATACACGAATCAAACTCTATTATAGAGGTGAAGAAAGATACAATACTACAATAGTAGTAGGAGACAACCATAATAGTAAGAGACTTCAATACAGCAGTCTCAGGGAAATACTGAACAACTGTAAATTCAATAAAAATAGAACTAGACAACACAATTAAATAACATGAACTTTTAGACATATGCAGTACATTCCACCCAAGAACACATTATACTATCTTTTCCAAAACACATAAACATTCTCTTGAATGACAGGATATAAAGCAAGCCTTAATAAATTTTAAAACATTGAGATACTATAAATCATTTTCTCAGATCACAATAAATTAATATTAGAAATCAGTAATAGGAAGAGCAATGTATAGATAATATATTCCAATTGAACAGAGTCCTGCTTAAAAACTCCTAGTAATTAAAAAAATATGAAATGAAAATATAAAAGTTTCTTGCAACAAATAGGAACAAAAATACCACATACCAAAACATTTGGGAAGGAGGAAAAGCAGTACTCAGAGGACAATTTATAGCAATAAGGGCACACACTAAGTATAACAAAGAAAAAGAACTAAATTCATATAATTGATACAAAAAAGGCCTTTAACAAACTCTAACACCCATTTCAGATAAAATCATTCAACAAAATAGGAATAGAAGGGAAATTCCTCAATATGACAACGGCCAGATACACAAAACCAACAGCCAACATCTCATTTGATGGGGAGAAATTGAAACCAGATAAGAATGCCCCCTTTCACAACTTTAATTCATTATTATACTAGAAGTCTTATCCAGGCTCTAAAACTGCAAAAAGGGATAAATGGAACCCAAATTGGCAAAGATGTGAAACTCTCTATTTGAAGACAGTGTGACTCTACACTTAGAAAACTCCAAAGATTCAACACGAAAATTGTTGGGAATAATAGAAAGATTCAGCATCATGATGGGGTACAAGATCAATGTACAGAAATCAATTCAGATTCCTTTATAGTAATGAAGAAAGCTCTGAAAAGGAAATCAAGAAAAAAAAAAAACACTTAAAATAGCCAACCAAAAGGTGAAATACTTTGGAATAAACCTAACCAAAGAAATAAAAGACTTGTATAAAGAATACTAAAAACATTGCTACTAGAAACCAAAAGAGACTTACATAAATGGAATAATGTTCTGTGTTTATGGATAGGGAAGCTTAACGTTGTGAAATTGTCAATATCACTCAAAGTAATCTATAAATATTATGTAATTCTGATCCAGGCACCAACATAATTTTTAAAAGAAATGGGCAAATTCATCATCAACTTTAAATGGAAAGAAAAGAGGCCTCAGATCAGCAAAGCACTGCTATAGCAGAACAGAGTAGGAGGCTTCTAACGTCCCAAGCTCAAAATCGACTACATAGCTGTGGTACTCCAAACAGTCTGGCACAAGATAGCAACAGATGTGTGGGCTGATGGTACAGAACAGAGCACTAGAAATGACGCCGTGCACCTACAGACAATTGGTTTTTGACAAAGCATAAAAAACCAATGGTTTTTCTTTCTATTTGCAAAAGAATTAAACAGGGAAGGCCATTGGGAGGGTCAATATGTTGTTGAATACAAAAATGATAATGTGATATCCACAATAAAAAGTTTAAAAATACAAAATATCAGCTATTTGCAAACTGCCATTTTCTTTGTGACATTGCCCCTACAATCGTTTGGCAAAGCATCACTGATTTTACTGTTATTCCACTCAAGCTTCACCATAAATTTAATGCTTGTTTTTGCTTCAGTTTTAGCAAAAGTTATGTTATTGTGGTAAGGGCTTGCTTTAAACAGTTATCCTAGGGGGAACAGATATCAGTTTGATCAGAATGATCAATACATAGCTCCCCCGCCCCTACTCCCCCCTAACAACAGAAACCATGGGGGAAGGGAGACAGTGGTTGGTGTAAGATATGAAAATAATAATAATTCATAATTTATCAAGGAGTCACAAGGGTGATGGCTGGGTAAGGAGGGAAAAAAGAGAAGCTGATACCATGGGCTCAAACAGAAAGTAAATGTTTAGAAAACAATGATGGCGACGTGTACAAATATGCTTGATACACTTTGATATATGGATTGTTATAAGAACTAAGAGCCCCCAGTAAAATCATCTTTAAAAAACAAACAAAAAACTGATGTCTTATCCTTCTTAGTGCCTCAAATTAGATCCTATTCATATATATTAAAACAAGCATTAACTGTGGTTGCAAGAAAAATTAAATCCTTAGTGACTTCAATCTTTTCTCCATTTATCATGATGTCTTCTATTGGCCCACTTATGAGGATATTTTTCTTTACATGGAATTATAATCCATGATGAATTTTCCTTTATCTTCATCAGCCGGTGCTTCAATTTGTCTCTTCAGCATCCAAAATAAGGCCAGGAGCTGAATATGGAACAGAGCATCAATTGCTCATATTTAAGTTATGGTTAAAGCTGAAGAAAATTAAAACGAATGCATGAGAGCCAAAATATGATCTTGAATACATCCCACTTGAATTTCAAGGACGTCTCAAGAACCGAGTTGCTGCATTGAACAATTAATGACCGCAGACCTGAGGAGTTGTGGGAGGACATAAAAAACATAACATATGAAGAAAGCAAAAGGTCACTTCCATGACAGGAAAGAAAGACAAGATCAAAGGAGATATCAGAAGATACTCTGCAACTTGTGGTCAATCATAGAGTAATTAAAGCAAATGCAAGAAATGAAGTAAAAAAATTCAACTGCAAATTTCAAAAGACAGCTTGAGAACACAAAGTAAAGCATTATAATTAAATGTGTAAAGATTTAGAGTTAGAAAGGTAGAAAGGAAGCATATACTCAGCATTATCTCGTAACCTCATAGAATATTATCTATTGGAGAGGCTGATATTAAACAATTAACCAAATAAGTTACACATTAACATTTAATTTCAATAGTATATTAGATAATAAAGAAATACAGGATGCTGTGAGAATATTATAGGTGTATGAGTATTTGCTTACACACAAATGAAATAATTACATCCACTGGATTAAAAAAGTAAGAGATATTTCCAACTACGTATTGTATCAGAGTCCAGGAGCCCTGGTGGCAGAAAGGCTAAGTGCTCGACTACTGAACAGAAAGAATGGTCATTGGAACCCTTCCAACAGTTCTGAGGCAGAAAGATCTATAATGATCAGAGGTTAGAAAATTTTATGGGTCAGTTCTACTTTTTTCTCATAGAGATTCTATTAGTTGAAAATCCACTTGACAGCCCCCAACAACAAACACAGGAGGGATGAAGCTACTGAGGTTGGTAGACAGTCTTTGAAAGCGGGTCATTGAGGATGAGTTTCATCTTAGACATTAGTTTGAAGGCTTTGCTGTTTATCCAACAATTGGTGGCTATTAGGGTCTTGAGCTCAAGTGGCCTGGCTCTACAGGTAATAAACTGACAAGAAGGGTATGGGTGATATGGCCCCAGGAGAGAGTGTCGAGGGAATAGAATAAGACCTATGTCTGTTTTTTTATTGCAGAAATATCGAAGTGGGTCACCTGAGGAATAGGTATAAGCTGGAAGACAGATCTATGTGAGATGGATTTTCTAAATAACATAATAGTGCCTTCTTCTGTGTGAAGAAATGTGAATTAATAGGCAGTACCAACCTAGCATGATTGAGAAATCTGCCACACCTAAGCAAGGTTGGGCAGAATCCAGGCCAAGACACTTTGTTCCCAGCCATGCAGAATATGAAATACCGAAAGTACATCTACATATTTCCCTTTCAATCAATGAGGAGAAGCCACAGGTAAAAATCTGAGCTAGATGAATGAATATTGCATCAATTTCCTTTGGCTTGCCCTTTGTAGTTTCTTATTACCAATAACATCCTGGTCCTGATTACAGCAAACCTTCTGCCGCTGCAGAAATCTCTCGTTTTAATAGGATAGTGGTTAATTATAGAAATTTACTCTTCTTATTTTTAGATGGCCAGTGAAAGGGAGGAAAACCCGGAGAGGGATGAATAGACACCCTGTTGCACCAATGGACTCAAACTGAAACGTGACTAGGATGCAAAGGTGGCCAAGGGTTAGACAGCACTTTAGTCAGTGTGGTCACCATGCCAGAGCTGACTTTCTAATTGAAGAGCAAAAACTATTTGATT